ATAGCTTGGCAGTCTAAGTGCCTGCCTGGCAAGCACAAAGACCTGGGTTTGATCCCTGATACTGCATACCATGCCTATCCCAGAACCCCGGGCATGCTGTGCTGGCCACGGAAACCAGGCATGGTGGTACATACCTGTAATCCCAGCTCTGGGGAGGCTGAGACGGGAGGATCACTACTAGTCTGAGCTGCTTAGCAAGACCATGTACCAAATAAATAAACACATACATAAATACATAAATAAATGATTTTAGAAGTAGAATATATAAGATTTACAGAAAGATTGCACAAACAATATCACATTCCCGTATAGCCCACAGCCACTTTGCTCTGTGATTAACATCTTACATCACTCTGTGCTGCGGGCCTGAATGCTTATTCCCATCCCCAATTCCTATGTTCAAATCCTAACTCCAAGGTAAAGATATTTAGAAGTGGGGCCTTTGGGAGGTGATTTTGTCCTGAGGGTGAACAACTTATGGAAGGGATTAGCAGCCTCAAGTTGGAGGAGTTCTGCCAGCGAGGAGGACCCAGCAAGGCCACCAAGGATGAGGACAGGGCCCTCATCAGTCATGGCATCTGCAGCTCCTTCACCGATGACATCTCAGCCTCAAGGACTGTGAGAAATAAATTTCTCTTGCTTATAAGCTGCCCTGCCTGTGATATTTCATTATAGCAGGGCTAAACAGACTGAGACCCTGCGGCACCTTCTTTCGATGAATGAATGAATGAGTATCAGCATGGCATTAACTGAGCTCCATACTTGATGTGGATTTTATTAGTTATTCCCTAATGTCCTGTTTCTGTTCCAGGGTCCCGTTGCAGATACCTATGTTGGTCATCTAGAGCTGCCGGAAATAACTGCCATAAACTCAGTGGCTTGAAGCAACAGGGTTTTCTTTAATGCACAGTTCTGGAGGCGGAAAGTCTGAAATCTGCAGGGCAGGCCAAGCTAAACTCCGAGCAGCCTAAGGGGAAATTTCCCGATGAAGTCACTCAGAGTCATCGGGCTGAATGGAACACACTGCTATACTCCCCTAAGACTTAATTTAAAAGGGTAAGTAAAACTTGAACATTGATTATAATTACACCAAATACCAAAGAATGCAGAGTCTACACATTTCCAAGAAAAACCTGTTTATATAAAACTATGCAGGGGCCGGGGAGATGGCTCAGTGGAATAAGCGCTTCCCTGGCAAGTGCAAGGGCCTGAGTTCAATCCCCAGTTCCACAAAAAAAAAAAAAAAAAAAAAAAAAATCTGTAATAAAACTGCAATGTTCCCTTCTCATTAAGATGCTACAAAAAAAATTAAAAAAAAAAAAAGATGCTACAGATTGGGGCTGGTGAGATGGCTCAGTGGTCTAAAGCACCTACTTAGAACAAGCTAAGCTAAGCAAAGCACAGGGACCGCGGTTCAATCCCCAGCACCACATGCCAGCCAGCCCCACCCCCTGGTGGGCTGAGCTGGCCACACACACACACACACACACACACTAAATAAATAAATATTTTGTAAAAAAAAGATGCTACAGATTGAATTCAAGGACTTTACTGCTGAGCTACATCCTTGGTCCTTTAAAATTGTTTTTTTGTTTGTTTGTTTTTGGTTTTGGTTTTTTTTTAATTGTGACACAGGGTCTTGGTAATTTACCCAAGCTAGCCTCAAACTTGGAATCCTCCTGCCTCAGCTTTGGATCACAGGTGTGTGCCACCATGCCCTTCTGTGTATATTTGTTATAGGTAAAGACGGCTTTTTTATTATTAAGTTGGGCTTTAGATGAACAAAAAGGTCTTATCGTTATCATATAGGCAACCCAACACTGTATGCTAAACCAGGTAATTCTCTAGGGGAGACCACCCGAGCAACTTCCTAGAGGAGGGGCAATCATCTCCATTTTGGCTGAGTCTGATCTTATTTCCATACGGTGATATGCACAGCGTGGTCTAGGGCTTTTCCTTATCCTGTCAATTGGCTTTAAGCGATGCATATTGGTCCAGCCTAGGTGCTGATGGTAGTCTTTGAAGACGGCAGGCAGTGTGTCTCGTGTGTGTGTGTGTGTGTGTGTGTGTGTGTGTCCAGTCCCCCCCCCCCGCTTTGGCCCCCTTGATCCCCTGTGTGAGCCAGGAAGAGGGGGGCTGAATAGCCAATGCTCCCCGCTGCCCTAGGATGGAGCCTTGAGATAAAGGCTATGACTTCCTGGGGCCTGAAAGATCACACATCAGAGCTGAAGCACTGACCCCAAAACTTAGCTACCCCTCTGAACTGCATTTTGCAGATTACTCCTTCTGCATACCCTTCTCTCTGCATACCGCAGAGGTGATTTCAGACTGCCTACTTGGCTCACAGCACTCACATATTTGCCATCGTTCTCACAGCCGTTCATCCCCCAGCCAGTCCTTTCTTCACAAATTAATAAAACCCTAGTTTGGACTTAGGATCCCTTGGCTCCCCATAACTACAAATATGCCTTAGTGTCTTTTCTTACCTTGGGTTGTACTGGGTGTGGTAGATTGGAATTAACTAGGATTCCAATAACTTTTCATGGGATTACAAATATAAACTTTCTTAACCAAGACAAGGACTGGGAAGGGCTCTCCATAATTCTTTAATTATAATATGTGCACTCCTACTCTGGCATTGTTCTAACTTTGTAATACGCAAACGGCCTCAGCAAGTACCACTGGAGGACCACTGGACTCCAGAGGAGCCCTGCTGGGGACCTTGTCCCCCTCTCCCCTCTTCAGGTCTACTCACTGCAGTGGCTCTGTGGCCATCTCATCCCAGTCTCTTCTCTCAGGAAGATTCCAGTCCTCTAGCTCCTCACAGTAAGCTCAGGGCTGTTCCCTTGTGCTTAGGTCAGATGGAACCTGGCACACAGTAGACGCAATGGACCTGAGTGAGATCCCAGTGCAGCCTTCGGGAAGTAATTAGGTCCTGAGGGCCAGGGCTCTGTCTTAGCCAGCTCAGACTGCAACAAAATACCACAGCCTGAGCAGCTCCTCAGACATGACAGGAACTGATCTCCCAGGGTCCTAGGGGCTGGAAGTCCAAGATGAGGATAGCAGCATGGGCAGATTCTGGTCAGGACACCCCCGGCTATTAGAGGTACCTCATCACCCTAACTGTTCATGGTGGAAGGGGGCTCCCTGGGGCCTCCTTTATGAGGGCACTAGTCCATTCTCAGGGACTCCACCCTCTGAGTTCCTCCCAGACACTGTACCTATTAACACAATTTCAACAAAGGAATCCAGGGAGACACAGTTAATAACACCTTTTACTGTAAAATAAGACAACGAACACACAGAGACCCCATTCCTTGTGGTGCTTCTTACCCCCTTGAATTTCTAGAGCTGTTGGCAAGAATGCCAGACCCTCCCAGGCCAGCAAGGTAATATCTGTGGCAGTTTGGGTCTATTTCTTAGCATAGGGATAGCAAATATTTTCTTTTTCATAAAAAAAGCAACTTTAGCCACTTGGTGATAGACCCCTCCTGCATCAGACTGACACAGAGAAGGGTGGTGCTGTGATCAATTAGTAATGCCTGGCACAGTTGCAGAAATGGTGAGGGTTGCATCTGCACCTACCTGACTTAGGAGCTGCAGCCTAAGGATGCAGGAATACATTGACATCTGAGGAGTACATATCTACATGTCCTGACTCCCAAGGTACGAGAGGAAGAAGGAGTGGGGTGGGTGTGAAGAGGGGAAATCTGTGGTGCTGGGACTAAGTCGCCCTTAACTCTGCCTGTCTTCCAGGTCAGAACTGCAATCTGTGCACACAGGTGAGGGCTGCACGCTGGAGCCTCCGAGAGCTGCTGCAGTCAGTTCCGCAGACAGTTGGCCCCTTTCACGGGTCAAGCACTGCCCTAGGTACTGTGGGGAACCCAACACTCCCTAAGCTCTGAGCTCAGGGCCTCAAGTCTTTCACACAAGGAGTGGGCAGGGAGCCCAGGGCAGGGCAGAATGTCCGTAGACTCTCCTGGCCCAGCACCAAGGTCAATAGACAGTCAGAGAAGGGCCAGGAGGCTCTGGATGTCCAAGGTAAGGAAGTAGGGTACAGGGCATAGGCCCGATCCAGTGTGTGAGTCAGGCCAAGCCTCCACCTTGCAGAGCTGAGGCCAAGTAGAGTGGAAGGGGGACCTGCTGCCACCCGGGCCCTGGGTTCCCTCTGCATGGTAAAGAAGTCAGAGGTGAGAAGTAGGCTCAAGATGCAGGTACCTGGGGCCCACAGAGATAGGGTGCACAGATGTCACCTCGGCCAGAGCTGCAGGACAGGAGCAGCACTTTTGGGGAGACCTAGAAGGCAAGCTGGGAAAACTCTAGGAACAGAAAGGGGGAGGAGGGCTGGGGAGAGAAGGCCAGTCACCTCCCACACTCATGGCCCCCTGCAGAAGGAAAAAACCACAGACTGGAACTAGGTGCCCTGAGTTCAAATCCTGCCTCTTCCTCTTTCTAGCAGGGTCATTTTGGGCAAGTTCTTAATTGTCTTGGGCCTTGGATTTTTCACCTCAAAATAATGACAGTGCTGATCTCAGAGGACTGAGGTGTGAGGGTTGAATGAAAGCATAGCAAAGCAAGACAGAGCTCTGTGAGTATCTGCTAGTATCACAGTCATGTAAGGCAGCTGGAACACGGACCAGCATTTCCCAGAAGCTATCCCACAAAACCTTCAACTAAGAGAGCAAAATAAAATGGGAAAGCATATTATTCACACTCAGATCAAGCACAGACAAGTCTATAGTAAAAAGCAAAAGCAACCAAGGCTGAGTGTGGTGGTGCAACCTGTAATCCCAACACTCAGGAGGCTGAGGCAGGAGGATCACTGCTGGACTACATAGGAGATTGAAGGCCAGCCTGAACAACATAGCAAGATCTTGTCCCCCAAAAAACAAAACCAAAATAAAAATAAACTAGGCTGGGGATATAGCTCAGTGGTGCACTGGCCATAAGCACTGGCTTTGAGCCCCAATACTACAGAACAAAGAAAAGAAAGGAAACCCTAACAGCATGGACCTTTATTGGGGCCACACTTTTCCAAGCCTCGTCTGCAGAGCCCTCTGAACACAGATACATGATGGCCCACAGACACCAGCTTGGGAGCTGGGGTAGGAGGGGTCCTCTCCAGATGGAAAGAGGGGTCTCCAGGAGCAGCCTCCAGTGGGCAAAGCTGTTGAGTCCAGGCCTCAGGCATGGCAGAGACTCATCCAGAAGGGCGGAGGCCTCAGGGGCGATATCCATGACACGAGGGAAGAACAGAGCCTCAGGACAGAAGAGTGACCCTGAGAATTTACTTTTGGAGAAAGTGGAAATGGGGTGCAGGGAGGGCTAGGGTCCTTCCCAGTTGTGGCCCTGCGGTGGCCCTGGCCCTGTGACTTGCTGAGGAGCGGCCCGGAGAGGGAAGTAGGGAGAGCTGCTCTGCAGAGGAACAGACACCCAGTGGCCCTAGCCACAGACCGTGTGGTTGTAAAACCGACAGCAGTTGTCCCGCGCCGCTGGGCTGAACTCCAGGCTGGTACTGAAAGAACAGAGCAGCACCGTACAAGCTCCAGGCCACCTCTGCTGGTGGAAAAACTCCAGACTGTGCAGCCCTGAGCAGAAGGCTGCTTGGGGTTTCTGGTCCACCCTTCCGCCCCAGATTGGGTCCTCACACCTCCTCCTCCTCCGCCCTCTCCACCTAGGCTGCAGCCAGGACATTGCTACCTGCATCCGGTTCCCAGCCACACAGCCCTCACCTCTGGAAGGCCCAGCGACAGCACTGGTACACCTCGAAGCTGCTGCTGCTGAGCGTGCGGTTCAGGAGGCCCCAGCACGAGGCCTCGGGTCCCCTGGGTGCATAGAGGATGCCTGTGGAGGGACCGCAGCTGTAGGCGGTGCGCTGGGGCCAACTGTCCCTGGCGACCCCCAGGCCCACCCTCACCTGCCACACAGGCGTTGACAAAGGACACGCAGGCCCCGGTGCAGAGCGCCCGCAGCACCAGCCCTGCAAAGTCGCTCTTGCGATGGGGGACCAGGGAGGCTGTAAGGGACAAGAGTGCTCAGGGCCAGTGATGCGCTGCCTCGGACCACTGCAGGTGGCTCCTGTGTGCGGCGCAAGGGCAGGTGTCATCACCCCCAGCTCCCCTTGCCGAGCTGGCGCAAGCCCGGAGGCTCCCTGGAAGAGGAGGCCCCTCCGCCCCGAGGCCCACAGGACTCACTCAGGCCGCCCAGCATGATGCCGATGGAGCTGACGTTGGCAAATCCACAGAGGGCAAAGGTCGCAAGGGTTTCTGCTCGGACCTGAGGATAGGGCGGTGGTGAGGAGGGACTCCCCGGGGGTACCGGGCCCCACACCACCCAGCTCCCCGCAGTCTCCCGCTCCTCTTGAGGGATCCCAGAGCCGCTGTGACCCTCTGCCCTGGCCCTCGCTGCTCTAAGTGGGCTTCCAGTCACCTCTCGGGGACACAGCGCCCTCTGCCGCTGGCCCATTACCCTGCGCTGGATGACAAAGACAGCCCTGCCTTGCCTGTGCTGGGCCCTGGGAACACAGCCAGTTTCCCGCTGGCGCTCACCCGCCCACTTGCTGCCCAGCTCATCCCCACCCACCAGGGGGAATGGAGATACAGGGTTAATGGTTTCATTCATTCATTCATTCATTCATTCATTTATTGGCGGAATTGGGAATTGAACTCAGGTCCTTGCACTTGCCAGGGAAGTGCTTATTCCACCGTGCCATCTCCCCGACCTCCATATTTATTAATTATTAATATTTGAGACAGAGTCTCGCTATTTATCTCAGGCTGACCTGGACTCACTACGTGGCCTGGCAGGCCTTGAACTCACAGCGATCCTTCTGCCTCAGCCTCCCAAGTGCTGGGATTACAGGCGTGGGTTACATTTTAATGAGGTATTACAGTGAAACACACAAACCCAAATATTACAGCAAAAGACACACTGCCACTGAGCCCCTCAACTCCTGCTCCTTCTCTGAGCACCCTCAGCCCACCATCTTGCCACCCGCTCAAGCGGCTCCAGACATCCTCTTCATGAGTGTCTTCAGGAGTTGTAAAAAATAATACAGTGAAAGCTGCTGCTGAAGGCCGTCCACAGGAAAAGCAAACTTGTGAAAACATCATGCTGTGTCCTTAGGCACCTTACTCTCGGGATGTGGCCCCGTGTGACCTCTGGTTCTGCCTCAGAGTCAAAGTGAGTACATTTTGAGTCCATTCAGGATATTGGAGCAGCCAGGACAGTGCAACTAAAGAGCCTCAGGAAAGAGGGGTTCCAGAGCTGCTGCAGAAAGCGGCAAGAATGATGGGATAGTGCAGCTGAAGCAAGGGGGCACTGGAGGGGGCTCATGGCAACGTGTCTTTTACGGCAATATTTTTCACATTTAAACATCCACCTTAGGTTTGGTTTTTGGGTTGGTTTTTTTTTTTTTTTTTGTATTTTAGGGAAGGGTCTACAGGGTGTTCAGGGTCTCACTACTACATCAGACTCATAGTGATCTGCCTGTTTACAGCCTCCTAAGAGGTGGAATTACAGGCGCATGCCACCACGCTCAGTCTCAATTGCCATCTCAGCATGCCCTGGGGGACAGAACCAGCACTGCAGGCCTGGGGATTGAACCCCTGGCCCCTGCACCTGCTTGCAGGCGCTCTATTTGGCCACTACCGGGTAGCCCTTCGCTCTAGGTTTTGATTGCCCTGCATACACCCAGTTTGAGCAGGCCAGGGGTCTCTCTGGGCTTCATGTGCTGGAATGTGGAAGGGCAGAGCTGGCTGCCAGGCAGTTATAAAAGAACTTCCAGGCCTAGAGCAGGTGATTAAATAGGGTGGTCCCCCCCTCCCCATTTTGGCTTGAGCAGCTGTTTAATTTCCTAGGAGAAAGTTTTAAGAGCCCCACAGAGCAATTTTTTAAAAAATTAAAAATTAGTTCACATCCATACCTCATCTTGTATATAAAATTAATTCAAGGTCATTTAAAACATGGTATCAGCCTAAAGTGATAGCAACCAGGACAGCAGTGGCTCTGGCTACAAGGTAGTGTGTTGGCACTAGGAAGTGGTCATGTGGAGGCTCCAAGTGGTCAAATGACACACAGCAGGCCGTGGCTGACAAGAGTTTGAACTCAGTTCTGTCAGCCTTCCAAGCCCGGCGTCTTAACTACTTCTTTACAATGTTTTAGGAAATTAATACTTACCAAAAATAACTTTCTGAGTATAGAGATAATAGAAGAAATCACAAAAAAAAAAGATTTCATGGATCATCTGTGTAGAAAAACAAATCGGTATGTACAAAATAGGGGGATGGGGGGCCCTATAGACTGCCAAGGTCTCCTCGCCCCTTTGCCCTTGATCTCTGGATGTTCGCAGTCTCCTTGGGGTGCTATGGCACATGTTATACCCACATCCTCCCCAAGAGGCTGGGGCAGCAGCTGGACTGAGGCCACAGTGACTGCAGCCCAGAGATTTCAAGCAAGAAACCCCAGGGAGGTGCAGTAGGGCCCAAGGCTGCCTAGTGTCCCCGGATGATACAGTTTGGACCAGTACGTCCCAGCCGGACCTAGGGAACCAGGAGAGCAGTTGCCAGGGCCCTCGGGAGTAGCTGTGTCACCCAGCCTCAGGGAGTGGACGTGACACTTACCGAGATCCACTGCTTCCTGGCTCCGACCCACTCCTCAGCCCCAGCCAGGCGCCGCCGCTTGTACTCAGATAGCTCCTGGTAGGCCACAAACTCGTTCAGGAAGAGCTTGGTCCCCAGCAGCTCGGCCACTATCGGGCAGTCCTCCCAGGGAACACCCAACAAGAAGGCCACTGGCCGCAGGACATAGGAGCAGATGAGCTAGGACACAGGGAAGGAGGGCCAGCGCTGCAGTGGGTACTTGCTGGGTCTCCAGCCTGCCCTGGCCTGGGACCACCTCCCTGAGAGCCATACCTGGAAGCTGAGCCCTGGGACATCCACCAGGGAACCCAGCCAGGACAATGCTGCATTGATGAAGGCCAGCACAGCCAGGAACGCGATCAGGTTGGCAGCGATGTTGGCAACAACCTTAACTGAGGTAGTGGCTCCACTGCTGAGGGCTTCTACAAGGTTCTGAGCATCTCTGTGGGGAGGATTGAGAGCCGCCATCACTGGCATGCCCCCACACAGCAAGGTCCCCATCAGAGGGTTTCCAAGAGGAACCCTAGTCAGAGCAGCTCAGAATCAGAGTGACCCTGTCACTCCTGAGATCCGAAGAGAGAAGGGATCGAGTTGGAACACTGGGATGAGACTAGCTCTCCTGCCAGATGTAGTGGTGCTTACCTATAACCCTGGCACTCTGGGAGGCTGAGGCAGGAGGATCACAAGTTTGAGCCCAGCTTGGGAAACTTTGACTCTGTCTCAAAGTAAATAAAAAAGAACTGAAGATGTAGCTCAGTGTGAAGATCCTGGGTTCAGTCTCCCCCGACACACATATACATGGTGATCTCCAGCCCCACAGGGGTGGAAGCCCTTAGCCACATGTGGCTCTTGCCCACTGAGAAGGAGGCTGTTCCAAGGAGGTTTGGGTTGTGTTGCTGGTGCAAAATGTAGAGGAGATTTTGGGCTTTGCTTTGTGATTTGAGATAGGATCTTGCTATGTAGTTTAGGCTGGCCTCAACTTATGGCAATCCTCCTGCCTCAGTCTCCCAAGTGCTGGGATGACAGGCATGTGCCACCAAGCCTGGCCTAAAGAAGAAATTTGTTTTTATGTTTTTGGGTTTTTTGGTGGAACCGGGGATTGAACTTAGGCCCTTGCTCTTGCCAGGCAAGTGCTTATTCTACTGAGCTATCTCCCAGCCCCTCTAAAGAAGAAATTTGGAAGATCAGTGCAAGTTAGAAAGAGCTGTGAGGTATCTCAGTAACCTTTTTCATTTTGATTACACAATGGAATGACAATATTTTGATATATTAGGTTAAGTAAAACATCTTACTGGAACCACTCATTTTCTTTTTTTAAAGATACAGACTGGACAACGACATGCTTCAGAATCTCATTTCCATAGGACAACACTGCTCTCAGAGCCAGGAGAATAGGGTTACTCTTTGTGACACCAAGCACACTGGTTCATAGTGAAGGCTTCTCAGCAATTGACCAATTGGCATTGAACCTAGGGCCTTTATACTGAACAATATCTACAGCTCTTTTTTTTTTTTTTCTTACTTTGAGATAGGGTCTCACTAAGATGCTCAGGTTGGACTGAAACTTGAGATCCTCCTGTCTCAGCCTCCACAATGCTGGGATTATAGGTGAGTGCCACTATGCCTGGCTCTTTTCAGCATTTTGAAGGTGGTAATGTTACCCTAGGGCTGGTGAAGACAGGTTAGGCAATGTGCGGGTGCCACCTGGTGGTCAGATAGCAGAAGTTCAGAGAAGGGACCTAGAGCCTCTGGCCATCACCCTGGACAGTCACACTGTAACTGGTGATTCCCTGTGCCTCAGCCAGCCTCTGTCCACCCGCTTCTCAGGGATGAAAATTAACAGGTGAGAACTGAAGCCTGTGTTCTTGTAAAAAAAAAAAAAAAAAAAAAAAAAAAAAACGAACACCCCGCTGCAACCAGGACAGTGACCAAAGGGAACCCAGGCTGGGCAGGACGAAGGCCGTAGCCCTCACCCGTAGCTCAGCCTCACTCCTTCCCCGCTGCCGACCCTGGTCTCCTCCACCTCGGGGTAGACCAGCTTGGACAGGGCCAAGGCCCCCGGCGCGGCCATCACGGACGCCGCGATCAGCGAGCTGGCGTCGACCTGCGGGAGGGAGAGAGAGGGTCAGGACGGGTGCGACTCCAGACCACGCCCAGGAGGGAAGCAAAGGCACTCGCGTGTGTAAGCAACATCGCAGTCTCCCCAGTGTGAGAAGCCGAAAGGGCAAATAAGATCCGAAAAGAGGAAAGAACAACTGGGATGAGGGAAAGGAGAAAACAAGGAAAAGATAGATAGATAGAAGATAGATAGATAGATAGATAGATAGATAGATAGATAGATAGATAGATAGGACAGTTAAGATACTTAAACTATTAATTTATCTTAATTCATTGAAAAGAAAGGTCTGTGCTAATATTGTTTAGACAATTAACTATGTCTTGCACACTGAGCAACCAGTTTAAAGATAACAATATGCAGGGGCAGGGGAGATGACCCGTAGAATAAATGCTTCCTTGGCAAGCTCAAGGACCTGAGTTCAATCCCTGGTTCTGCAAAAAAAAATAAATAAATAAAAAATAAAAAGATAACTATATGCAGTGTATTAATCATTGTTACTTTCCTATTATCTTGTTTTGAAATCTTATTTTATCATTTAAATAAAATTTTTAAAAAATAAGAGAAAGGGTCATGGGCGGCGCTGCCATGCTTGCAGCCACCCTCCTGGATACTGTTTCCTTTTGTGTGGGGAGGCTTGCGTGAGTGGCCTCAAGGGGGTGGAGTTATTTGTCCCCTGCAGTTTTGTAACTTAGCAGGGCATATATTGTTTTTCCCACTTTTTACAGCATGAAAATGGAGCCCCCAAGTGACTGAACCCAGCTCGGCCTGAAATGAAGGAAGAGAAGGAATAAAAACTCATCTTTTGGTGTGGAGTTCAAGGGGGGCTCCTTTCCTGTTAGGCTGTCTTTTTGGCCACTCAGCTCAAAAAGGTGAGGGTCCCCCGGAGCTGAGGGTAAAGCCCTGGACCTTCGCAGCTGGGCTAGGCCAAAGCAGCAGCCCCAGTTGGCCTGGGTGCAGTATGTGCGCTAGCACAGGAGATAACCTTCGACGGGACTCCTTCTTGAATTGTCTTTCTGCTCTCTTCCACAGAAATAGGGGTGTGTGTGTATGCACGGGTGTGGGTGTGGGTGTGTGGGTGTGACTGGGCACTGAATCCAGGACCTTCACCCCGATCTACATCCCCAGCCTCCTACCCCTTTTTAATATTTTTAAAATTTTTTTTTTATCTTGAGACAGGGTCTCACTAAGTCACTAGATTGCCCAGTCTGGGCTCAAACTGGTGATCCTCCTGCCTCAGCCTCCCGGAATCCTGGAATGATACATGTGTGGCTCACCTGGTGACAAGACCCCTTTTTCTTTCTCTACCACTGTGTTATTTACCGAATGGTGAAATGAGTCTCAACTCAAACCTATCATGGGGGAAGGTGGCCACACATTGTCAGGGTGCTGCGAGACAAGCGTCCACTGAAAGTGTGAGGTCCCAAGTTAATTCCCGGGACCCGAAACTCAAAACCCAAAATCCAAAACCCAAACAAAAACAAAATTAAAAAAAAAAAAAAAAAAAAAAAGGGCTGGTGAGATGGCTCAGTGGTCTAAAGCACCTACTTAGAACAAGCTTAGCAAAGCACAGGGACCGCGGTTCAATCCCCCAGCACCACGTGCCAGCCAGCCCCGCCCCCTGGTGGGCTGAACGGGCCACACACACACACACACACACACAAATAAATAAATAAATAAAAAGCAAGCATTCAGTACTCTTTTTGTCCCTACAAACTGGCTGGCCCTGACCACCATGGCTGGGGTAATTTTCTCTTCTTTCTGCTTTTTGATATCTTGCAAAAGCTTACCATGATCTACATCATGTTTACAAACTGAAAAGCAGAACAGGCTCCTTGAGGTCTGTAATAAGCAAGGACAAATTTCTTTAAAATTTAAATAAAAAGGAAAGATTGGAGTGAGTACCAGACGTGTGTGCAGGCTGGGGACAGAAGGTGGGGGCAGTGCCCATGATGGTGACAGGAAGTGCCAGGAGGGCAACACAACCACCTGAGACCTTGTCTTTTGTTTCTTCTTATTTTCAAACCCAGAATGTCATTTGCTGAGCATATTCAGTGACGCCCAGCAAAAGTAGGTTATTGTCTTATCAATGACAGCAAGAAATTTAGGTTACAGGCCTACTGAATATTCCTTTGGACTAAAATTCCCATTTCTTTTCAAGTACTTTTAAAAAATTAAACAAAACAAAAAAAAAATGTGTTGAGGTCTAGGACTGTGCTCCTGGTGGGAGGAAGCACACCCAGCCACACCCTCCCTAGACTTTCTGGGCCAGGCCTTGGGCCTCGTTGCCCCCCTCACTGCCCAGCTGCCAGGGGACAACGCCACACTTGGGTCTTGGGCTTCTTGCAGTCCCTGCCAGGACCTTGCTGCCTCCTCTAGCTTGGCGATTACACCTGGCTCACAGGCCTGAGTCACAGCAGGGGTGTGGCATCACAGCCCTGGGTGCAGTCCTCCTGGGGACAGCTGTGGCCAGGACCCAGATGCCAAGTGCTTGCTTCTGGCTCTGCATGGGAAAGGCCACTCAGGTCAGCCACTGCTGGACAGGCTGCAGGGCAGGCACAGCCCACCTCTGCTGCCAAACCCCCAGGAAGGAAAGAAAGCCTGCTACCCAACACCCAGGCCTCTCCGGCCACCTGAGCCGCTTCTCACTCTCACCCCAGGCAGAAAGAGACCATGAACAGGCACCTTCTGCTGAAAGTTTCAAAAGGACCTTTACTAAGAAAAGAAATAAGCCCAAATGATCACAAAGGGGGCAGCTGCAAGACACACTTCCGACCCGCAGATGTCAGAAAGAGGATGGCCACCCCTCCAATCCTGAGCCATTCTAAGTGTCTTCTGCCTCTGCCTCCTACATGGCTATGAGATGCCCATTTTACAGATATGGAAACAGAGCAGCAGGTGTCACAGGGGAACGTGAGTGGGCAACTCCCCGATGTCACCTACCTGGGCTGTTAGAACTGAGCCAGAGCAGAGAACCCAGGGCCAGGGTGAGCAGGGAGAGCGGTACCCACTCGTGAGGCTTCAGTGCAGTGCAGCGGTTCAGCCAAGTGGCCTCTGGGGCTGCAGAGCCGGGAAGGCCTCCGCCCCTGCTGCCACCACCCAGCGCAGGTGGAATGGGAACCCTGGCTTTAGTTATACATTTTCCAGTAGCCACTTTAGGAAGAAGCAGATAAACTTAGAATTTTATTTATTTATTTATTGCAGAACTGGGGCTCAAACTCAGGACTTTGCGCCTGTCAGGCCAGCACTTATGCCAGGGAGCTATCTCCCTGGCCCTGAACGTCAATCTTAACCATGTTATTTTAATTAACCCGATACAATTTTTTCCTTTCCATAAATGGAATCAATATGAACTTTATAGTCATAGACTATCTTAATTGTTTTTCTGTGCTGAATTTCACGCTGCATCTTATCAGGCTGGCCATATTCCGGGGCTCAGGAACTCCTATAACCAGTGGCCCCTAGGGGGCACCCTCTAGAGAAGCCTGGAGGGCAGCAATCCATGAGGTACAGGCCAAGGGGGCTGGAAGTGGGGCCATGAAGGGAATGGAGGGTCCCCAGCACCCGGGAGCTGGATGCTCTGCCTCACAGAACTTGGGGTACAGGGCAGAGCTCAGGAGCCAGGGGTGCTGTAAAGAGGGGTCCAGGAAAGAGGGGCAGTGGCAGCACAGTGACAGCAGGGGGAAGAAGAGAGCTGTCTGGGGCCAGCGGCGGGAGGGCAGGGCAGGGCAGGAAGGAGCCGCAGGGTGCAGCTGGGGCCACCGCAGCCCAGCACTGGAAGGGAAGTAGGAATCTGGCACTGCCAGTCCGGGCACAGGGCTGTCCAGGGTCATGCCTGGACACACTGGCCTGAGGAAGGGAAGGGAGGGGCTGAGTTTTTAAATCAGATTGTGTGGAGGAGAGAGAGTTCTTCCAGCACAGACGGTTGCTGACAGTGATTTCTGGCTTCAAGATTGTGTGTCAGTGATCAGCACTCAGTAGGAACTGTGCTTTGGTTTTTGTTTGCTTGTTGATTGTTTTGGTGGTACTGGGCATTGAACACAGGCCCTTTGCACCGAGCTACCCCAGCCTTTTAAAATTTGGTGGGTTTTTTTGTTTTGTTTTTTTGAGACAGGGTCACAATAAGTCAGCAACATGTCCAGGCCAAGCTCCAACTTGTGCTCCTCCTGCCTCAGCCTCCCAGAGTGCCGGGATTATAGGTGTGTGCCAAACTGGCTCTTTCTCAGTCTTGACATCTGCACTACAATATTTTTGCCACACTGGGGGCAACAGAAAGCTGCAGCTCCTGGGCAGCTACATGATCAGTCCAGTCCTGGAGAAATAGCTTGATATGCTAGGATGTACTATTGCTTGGCTAAGCCATAATGCTGGGCAGGTGAGGCCAATCCCATGCTTTTTCACCCTCTGGTGGGTTTATCCGGGTGGGGCCCCATTGTGGGTCCAGGAGCACCAGTTCGAAAGTTCCGAGCAATGACCAGGGATGTTCCTACCCCTGGCTGGGAGGCCTTGAGCAAGGGCCAAACAGTTAAAGGCCTGATGCCCAGCATATACTACGGCAGGTCCTCCCCCAATACTGACTGTGAAAAATGTTGCAGGAACAAAGTTTTGGGATTTCGTTTGTGAAATATCAAATCTATTCCATCAATGGGGTAGACATGGGGGGAACCTGATAAGCCCTTCTTGGGTCTCAGTGAAACGAGGTAGAAACCAGGCACTGGGCTGCATGCAGGATCTTACGTAAGAGTGGAGGGGGTCAGGCTGGAAGACAAAGCCACAGAGTGCTGGGGCTTCTGAATGTCAAGCAAAGCTGGGGATGGTGGCACGTGCCGCAACCCCAGTCACTGGGGAGGCTGAACAGGAGAATGAAGGTCAAGGCCAGCCAGAGCCACCAGCTCTGCCCAGGTTCCTGTGGGGATGTGGTGCTGGGCTCACTAGTGCAGTGCAGTGTCTGAGTGGATGAAGGACCACAGGCAGGCTGGCTTGTCCTC